CTCCACCGCTCATGTCAAAGTGTCAGATGAGGAATCTGAACATCATTCAAAAAACAATCACGTGAACAACTTCAGCATAATTGATTTTGTTTGAGCGTGCTTATTTTTGGAGCATCTAGAATGGGTCCCATTGCTGTCCTTTTGATTGAAAACCTACCATCACATTACACGCCTACAATAGTTTACTAATTCAAATGTGAGTATAGATGTGGTTAGATGCACTAGTAACCTAATATACCTAGTTAAATAGTCACTGCATTGGATCTTTTATTTTATTATTAAGGAAATTTTGACCAATTCTATTAGATTATAATAGAATTTTGTTTATAAAAGTCACACAAAACATAGGCAGATGACAATAGTGGAGCCATTTCAACGTTCCAAAAATCAATTCTTTCCAAAGACAAGCGTCTTTGGTAGCCATTTTCCATTCATTTTTAGATATTATTTGACCGTAGCACAGTAAATGGGTCTGTGAATTTTGCTCCCATCTGACACATAAAAGACGTGCTTGTACAATGAGAATCCTTTCACTCACTACTTGCAGTGTTTACCACTATACACTCCAACCACCTTCAATCAATTCCAAAAAATGGGTAGTTGAAGGCATGGGGTAAAAAGAGGGGGAAAAACTAAAGTAGATTCTTCAAAATTCACATGCAATCGTCCTTTATTGTCAGAACCTTCAATCAATTGAAATTGAACTACGATGTGCAACGGGCAAAAATATCTCTAAACATGTAACTATGAAAAATAGTGTAGTTTTTGCATTTCGAAATCTTGAAAATTATACAATTGACTAATTATAGTAATTATTAAGTAAATATAGTGTTTTATATTTTTAGATATTTGGTAGGCAATATTTTAATATTAAATAATTTCTACAATGATTAAAATTATAAAATAATATTAAAAATAAGAAAACATTTTTAAGTCTAGACCTCACCTAGCTCGTAAAATGTAAAACTTGACCTCGAAGCCTATCAGGCTTTATGCTTTATTAAATATTGATCTTCATATTCATCATAGAAGTGGATGGTTTCCTACGATAAGTTCCCTTTAATAAATGGAAAGTTATTATGACAGATATTAAACCACCACTTAATAAATTTAATCTTTGAATTAATATGTGATAGTAAACGATTAAATAATAAATAAAGGAAGAACATCATCATAATATCTATCCCTAGGAAAATGAGCCCATCAAGAATTATTCAAATGAAATCATACTATAAAAACTTAAACCAAATATATTAAACGCTGTCTCAATCCTCCATCCATAGGTAAGCAAACATTTTGGACCCTCGATTGCCCGTTTTTAGATATCCCCTTGCAGGAATTTTACAAATAACCCGTTAATATTCTTAATAATGTTCTTTGGAGGCTTTATAATCCCTGAGCGTGCAAAGTGAGATTAAAGACAACATAGAATATCCCATTCAACTATGTCAAGTTTATGTAGACATTACCTCCGGGGTGTTTGCAATTGATTTAATAAAACCTTTATTTGTCTTTCATTCTTTCAAAACTCTATTTTTGCCGTACTTATTTTCAGTCACACATTCAAATAATAAAATATTTTAAACGTCAACCCAAAATTTTTCTTTGTTTTTTAATCACACATTCTTCAAAAATTCACTATTCAAAACAATGCTTTTCAAGAAAGATGACAACCAGATGTAGGCTAAATTATTTCCCGAGCCATGAGAATATTTTCATGGATTAACTACATGGTGATTCCACTTTGATTGAGTGAAACAATTTTCGTTAATGATGTACTTAAATCAGAATTTGAGAACTTTGTTACAATTTTGTCAAGATCTTAGTGGAGGTTTTCCAACGCTTCTCGAGTCAAGGGTTGTGCTTGTTATGCACCATGCAGCCCCTCACAATGGGGGGCCTATACATTTTTTATGAATGGTGGGCCCCCCACATGTGAGGGGCTGTACACTTTAAAATAATTATGCTTGTCTGATGTGGCTGTTTTCAAAATAATTGATTTTTCGAGCATTGAGATGGGCTCCACTGCTGTCATTCTGATTGAAAACTTTCCATCACTTTACATGTCCACAATAGGTGACTAATTCAAATGTATTGCATTTTGTTCCAAATACCTTTCTTACCCTTTATTATTGGCCAAGTATAGAATCAAATGGTGGAGCACAGTGCTGGTTTGTTGCTTTCAGGGCCGTTTGAATCCCATTATTCGACGTTATAATAAAAAGAATAGTAATTTTTAAAAAAATATATGATTTAACAAAAAAGAAAAATATTTGGATTTATATATAATAGTATTTTATTGAAAAGTGTATGATTGATAAGAAGAACGAAAAAATGAATTATAATTTAATGAGGAATAATGTGAACCAAACGAAGGCTTAATTAAGAGGGATAATCACGTTATTTTGCCAGAAATTTGGATGGTGAAATAGTCGGATAAAGCACTCCTGACCAACTATGGGCCCGATTTTTTCACCCAAAAAATTGATTTTTTGACGGTTATTTTGCTATTACAGTCGTCATATTTGACTTCTTCTTTCACAAGTGGACCTCACTTTTCTCCTAACGGTCAAAAAATCAATTCTCAAAATCACTCCCAAACAGGTTTTATACCTAGTCAAACAATCACCGTATTGTTTATAATACAGTGTCTTCTTATTTTATTATGAAAATTCGGACCAATTCTATCAAAATATAATAGAATTGTTTATAAAAGTCATGCCAAACATAGGTAAATGACAAAATTGGACCATTTCAACGTTCCAAAATTCAATTATTTCTCAATACAAGTTCACCAAGACAAAGTCAATTATGTTAATGTGTAATTTTGAATATTGCCAATATCCCCATCATCCGCCACTGAGCTCACTACCAAATTCTAGCATTGTTGCAACTACTTCTCAAGAATCACAACTATTGCCGATAACAAACATGCACAATTGTGTGCATTTAATTTTTCTGGTCGTTATTTTGGTGAATTTCTCATTTTGATTGAGTGACTTTGATGGAATATAAGTAAATTTTGGAAAACTCAATTTATAATTTTTAAATTGGTAAGTACCTAAGTGAAATTTATCGCAAAGTCTTGTAAATGAGTGTGATTTATCCCAGTTATTAGTTACGGGAAGAAGTTATTTCAATTTACTTTTATTAAAGGCTCTGTGCTTAATCTCTAATTAGGCAATTATGGATAATTTTCTTGATATTATAAATATTAAACAATAAAATTTGTTTTTCATTTTGGATCACTAAGGCAGCGTACAACGTAGGAGGTGATTAAATATTGTTCATAATTTATTTATTATTTCTACATGACCTACAACTTTTAAACCTTAAAATATTAAAGTTTTGCCAATCATACAATTATTAACTCTTAAAGAATATAATAGATTAAGAAATCGCACTAACCTTTTATATTTTGGTTTTATGTATCACAAACATAATCGGGCCACTTTTTGAGACATATTTTAAAACAAGATTGATATATCTAAAATTTCATTATGGAAAAATACTAAAGATTAGAAATAGAAAAAGTTAATGTGACTTTTCAAAAGTCGTAATACTCGATAGTAGTAATTTTACTGCCTCAGTTTGCAATAGTTTCTTGACTGATATGTTACCTATCAGTGTATGGCTGACCAATGACTATTTACAGGGGTTTTCAAATGTTTGACGAATTAAGATTGGGAAAATTTCATCCTAAGTGCACAATCTATTGTTCTATCCGTGTATGTCGTCAACCTTTCTTTATAACTTGTACAATTAGTTGTCAATAACAAAAATCGTTTAAAATCTTCATTAAATTGTCCAGTAGTCCACCTGATAATACAATGAATTACAGACTTTAAGATACTTAATTAAATAATAGAATCACGCTAATTAAATAATAGAATCACGCTTGGTAAAGCCAGCCTCCTTTGTTGGGGAAAAAAAAAGGGTCCGACGTGTTCAAAAAACTTGTCTATGAAATCCTATTTAGTATCATTTTCTAAAACTCATAGTGTTGAAATTGTTATTCAAAATCAATAAAGAGTGTGGAACAAAAAGTGGAATTGAAGGCCAAAACATTGGCCCATGCGACTACATATGCCATGGAGGCATGCGGTCGCATGTTGGCTTGCAAGGCCTAGCCCCGCCATTGAACAACCTATGCGGCCGGATGAATAATCTGGTAACATTTGGATAACATATTGCAACTTTTCATCATGTTTTGACATCATTTCGTTTAGTATTGATTGAGGCCAATAAATAGGTGATTAATGATCAATAAAAAAAATATATAACAACCACTTGAGAACAAATTCTATTTCCAAAAAAGATCAAAACCTCTTTTCTATCATATTCAAAATTCTATTTTATGGTCTTGAGTTATGAAAGTATTTCACTAGTGTTTAAGTGTTTATTCGCCTTTTGAGGCTTGATAATTTCTACAAATCATTTGCCAAGAGTCCCTTTAAGCACCAAATTCAACCCGATAGGAGGGCAAATACTGTTTGAAGACAACGATTATTTGTTTAGACCTTCATCTTCTATTTCAATCTTCTCGTTATTTGTTATTTATTTCTTCTTCATACCATTTGTGTGGAATCAATTTTGCAACACATAGTACAGAAGGTAATTGGAAAATATAGTGACCAAGATGACACATTATGAGACTTAGGAATAAAGCGGACCTAGAGATAAATATTATGGTGGGCTAAATTTTTCTCAAACTTCAAAATATTTATAAAATATAATGTCATAATAGTCGAGATATTTTGAGATTTTTGTACAAGACTAGTTTTGTGGCCATGCAATGCATGACTTGAATTTTGTTGGAGGTAAGATTAGTGTGTTAAGTATTAAGGATTTACGAGAGAGAGAGAGAGAGAGAGAGAGAGGTACATAAAATTAGTTTTTGGGAAACCAAAATAGTACCTAACATACAATAAGGACGAATGCAGATTTATGAAAATTGATATAGAAAACTCGAAAATATAGACGTTGGAAATTTTGTTTCTCCATTGCAAATATTAAGAAGGAAATTAGAAAATAAATACATCAAAGTCCTTCTGGGCGGATGAAATTCTAACCTCTATAAGGCAAAGAATAAATAGGCAGCCCTTGACAGCACGAACAAGAAGCTATAATCATTTTCACTTGCTTCTTACTTCGTCGGTAAGTTCGCCCACTGGGCGAAGAAGGCCCATCTGTTGCAGTGCAAACTTCAATAAAGGCAACTCTCTTGCGCCTACTATTCCACTGAAAAGAATGTCCAAGGGTTTATTTACGACGACACACGAATCATGGTCAACGAAGAACTTCATGAGGTACTTGAACCATTTAAATGGGAACTTTGAGTTGTGATCCAAGTGTTCCAACCTAGACTTCAAACTATTTTTGAAAAGAAGCCATCCCATTTCATGGATGAAATTCATGGCTTGATTTTGTGTTTCTAATTTTTCAGTGCCTCAGGGGAACGAATCTGTCACAACCAATTCTATTTTACTCTCAAGCGTACAGATCTCAGTGCAAACATCGCCCTCAGCAACCATGCATGGAAAGATGCTGCTGCTGATACCATGATCTTCAACCTGAATAATTTCAGATAGAATACCAAGGTTAGCTAGCATGTAAATTCCAATGGCCACCATGTCACATTATGTGGGAATAATTAACAAAGATCTATAACATGGACATGTTCTCTAGGTAAAAATTAAGTCAATGCAAGAAGCAACACAAAATTGTCTTAATTAATATGTTTTATTATCAGCTTTCCTGACATATAAGTGTAGTAAATATGAAAAACAACATACACACTAAAAAAACAAAACATAACGGAATAAACATAACCTCGATCATGCCTCTCCCAGTAACTGCAGCAATAGAACATCACAATAGATTAGTATTGATAGTGATTCCTGCACATAATGTAGAATAAATGTATGTCCATTTCCATAAACAAACCCTGACCAATAATATAAGGAGACAAAGAAAAGAATTAACAGCAATACAATAGCAAGGATACGACCTATTTCTCTTCTCACACAATCATTTGGAAGCCCATCAACAAGCAGAATGTTGCCAATCGTACAGCAACTATTGCCAATTTTACTGAAGAATGCTCATGCGTTCCTTCTCCATTTTTATTATTTTCCCATTAGCTAGAGACGTAGTAGTTAAAGAATGAAAAAATATTCAGTCCGCCAATAAAAAAAATCAAATTTGACAACCATATATATGCTATTAGAACAGGAAATAAGCCTAAAATTAAATTCATTTTTTTCCAGCAACAATTAAAAATTCGATGCATAATTAAAACATATACATTATATAGATAGATAAAGAAAAATGACCTATATAGTTAAATCTGTAGTAGAGAATTCCTTCCACAGGTCATGAAATCAAGTCAAGATATATTCCATCCTCAATTTAAAATGACTCGTGCATGAAAAAGAAAAAAAAAAAATTATGAAGTAAAACAATGGAAGAAAATAGGAGAATTAGGAAAAAAATTTACAAACAAAAATACCTCAACTTTGGATAGCTTGCCTTTATCCAAGTTTTCCAAAGGGCAAATCCAGCAAGGTTTTGAACAGCATTATTATTCTTGCTCGAAATTGTTTACCAGTCAATGGCCACCAAAAATCATAGCTCTTCTCGAGCTAGGGTTTAGGGAAAAAAAACACTTGAGAGTGAGAGTTGAGAGGTTTGTACATTTGAAGCCCTAGATAAAAATAGTAAATTCTAAGAACAAAAGTGGAACTTTAAAACAGTTATACCTCTCCAAGTCTGTGTGAGAGAGAAAAAAAAATACAAAAGTAACAAACAAGAGTTCAAACAGTTCCCCTGATTAAGCTTTTGCTAGCCACATTGATGATTGATCACCTTTGCTCATCAATGAAATAGAATCTCTTAACATATAATATTTGGAATTAATACATTTAAGATTCCAAGTAGATATAGAATCTATGGAAGTATGACTTCTTCCATCATAAATCAAACTTTTTGATTGTGAGATGATGCAAATCTTTAGCTCTTAAAGACACTCACCCACAATCAGGATTGTTTCGTGGCTCATGGTACAGGCAAGGACAAAATGAGCAAGAACGAGGGTCCAATACTTGAAGAGAAGTTTGACAATTGCTAGCTATCTATCCATGCAGCTCTATAAAGTTTCTTCGAGAGTAACTTAGAATGGTCAATTGTTAAGTTAGAAAATATATCTATTGTCTACATAGGAAGTGGAATTTTAAAATTAAGCGAAATAGAATATGGACTACAAAGACCGATCTCTATGTCGTATCCTTTTTATGCCCTCCCCAGCCAAAACAAATTTAATTTCCGTTGTAAAATACATAAAACAAAGTATTATTGAAGTTCCACCAAAAATTATGAGAAAAGCTTTGTTCACCTCGGCCTATCTTCAACTGCAAGCAGAAAAAGATGGAACAATTGTAAATGCGCAATGTAAAAGAAACTGCCCAAGATCTATCAAAAGACTGGTCGATAATCACCTAGGGTGCCTCAAAGGACGCGGCGATCAACTTGAGTAGGCTACTTTTCGATTGAAATGATACAAGCAACAAGGAGTGGGTTATCATCATAGCAATAGTTATCTTGTATTTATGAGACAAGTGCTCGGAAGAGATTTATGCTTAATTAGGCGATGAAACACTAATTAACATGTTGATAACAATACAACCATAGCCGTGGGAAGAGAATTATGTATCGAAGACATCAAACTTAATTGTTATTAGAACTTGGTATGTTAGTGGTCACTTCGGACCCCAATAGGATGCATTCCAAATTTATTGGAATGGAAAATATAAAATCATCGAGTGTACCTTCATAATAAAAAAGATGTACCACAAATTGTGTAGTAATACATCTTTTTGTTTTCACTATATGCAAAAGCATGATCAAGATTGAAATTATAACAAAGTTGGAAAAAAAGGATTTCATTGAGATAAATATAAAATATTTGGGCTAGTCATGGACCTCATAAATCAGGGGTTCACCATTCTTCATAATCAAATCTCCACATTTCCATACATTTGCACATATCATTTTTCTTTTACAAGTAAAATTCTCATTAAATGTGAAAGGTGGGTTAACCAATACGCTAAAAGACACACTGCATTCATGCGTATCCAAAATAACAATAATAACACAATAATAAGTTCAAACCTCAAGTCATATGCTCAAAACAATCTCCTCACACCACCACCCAAAAAAATAAAAAAATAAGAATAAATAAAAATAAATAAAAATAAAAATAAATTAGAGAGAGAGAATTGCACACACATCTAATATCAGGTTATATACTCAATTTCCAAGTATCAAGGTTTTTGATGTTGTCTTGACATAATATGTAACTCATTCAATTTAAAATCCTCCACATAAACTATATCACAGATAAATGGATCATCCTGCCATCTTTCATTGTGCATAATGGCAACAATTAGAAGAGTTTTTTTGATAAAACCTTATAAATTCTCTCATATATAATAGAGGTAGCGGGCTATATGCTGCATTTCACAGAGATATTTAAGCAAAGTCAGAATACCAAAATAAGATAAATATTAGGTCTATGTCAGATGGTCAACTAACTCCATCCTTTAAGCTCCAAGTTGTAAATGTTCGATATACTTACAACGAACAAGAAATATAAGGCCAAAATGAATCTACTCATTCAGTCAGATCGAACCAGCTGAAAATTTTATAATGCCCAAATCCATGCACATAAAAGGAAAATGGGATCTGCAACTGCAAGTATCATTTCTTTCATTGACCATAAGAATCACTATATAT